CCTGAATTCAGCTAAGGGAGATAGATAGTTTCTTTCTGAGATCATCAATTTTATAGAATACTAGGTTCTTCATATTTAAACATAAACTGAACAATCAGAGTGTTTTATAGGCAAAACTGTAGATACATAGTCTAGATAATACAGAAATAATGGTAAAGAGCTATGAAGCTTTCAAGAAATTGAGAACATACTACCTGCAGAGCACAGTAGGGAGTAAAAAAAGATGTGCAAAGAACAGTCCTTGTCTCCCAGAGTGTAATTTAATAGAGACTCCACAAGACTCCTAAGAACAAGCAGACCTAAGAGCTAAATTCCAGACTGGGTCAACATAAGTCAAACAGCAATCCTTGTGTGCCTAGAAATGTATTCTTATCTCCTGCTCTCATGCTACAACTACCCACATAGGGTTGAGGACATAACCAGAGATGGGTTGATCAGAAGACAGCAATGGTTAGAACAGGACACTCTTGGAAGGAAAGCCCACAAGCAGCAGCTGTTCACTCACCTGGCTGTTTTCCTTCTAGAGCTTAAGTGAGTTACCATCCAATAAATCACTGCCCTAACTGAATCTATTTCTGCTGTCTGCAACCAGAGAACTTCAACTAATGCACACAATCCCCTTCATTACAGTTCCAATTTTCTAAAATCACAGTAAAAAAACATACTATGATTCAAGCCACTTAATGATCAAGCTCTCCTTTTCACACTATCTTCTCTCCCATCAGGTTCTCTCCAACAGATGAACACGGTGAGGGAGGTGGCACACAAAGCCAGGAATACAATCATTCTATCTTCATCTCCTTCCCCTCTCTGCTCTCATCCTACCGTTTAAACAATTCTTCAGTGCTCCAAATATAAAATTTCCAGATCTTTAATAATTCTCTATTTCCTTTTCATTTTCTCAGTAGGACCAAGCTACCACAATTAGAAAACATGCAGAAAGCCAGTACTTCCAGAATACTGGAAAAATCAGAAATCATTCCACTCCCAATTTCCAAATCAAATACATGTGCAAGGTTTTTCTGTATGTTCTGATGTTGCAAAAAGAAGAAAAAAAAAAAAAAGAAAACTCTACATATAGCAAAAGTCCAAAGGGATTTTTGAGCCCAACACGTCCTTCTTCTTCTAGACAACTATCTAGAATGGAAAAATCTCTGTCCAATACATGGGCTGCTACAGGGGTTTGTCATTATTTTAGGGGGCCAAGTTGGTGCACACTGCATGTTCTTTATAGTGTGTTAATTCCAAAAAGAAAATAACAAGATTTGGGATACATTAAGTACTAAATTTGTTATCAACTTTGAAAGAAATTTTTTTTCATTTTTCCACAAATAAAAATTTTTTTCATCATTAAAAATTTTTTTAACTGGTGAGGTTCAAAGTCCTTAGAATGTTAATATTCTTCTCATCTTCAGAAGCTTAATATTTAAATACAACTTAATGATAAAAGTTGACCCTGCTTCCATGAAACTAACATTTTTTTTAAATTAGGTTTTCTTATTTAAATGGGTACCATTACTCCTGATTATGACTTTTTCTAATACTGACCTTTTCAAATTGTAGATGACTTCCATATATAATAGAAATCAATCTTCAAATGGATGGTAGAAAAAACATTTGCTTACATTTATCTTCTTAAAACAAGTGTGATCTGACATCCAAGCAGATATATGCACTCCCATGTTTACTGCAGCTTTGTTCACAATAGCAAGGAGT